ACCTAAGTCAGAGAACCAGCAGATGGCATAATGGTTATGTCACTGGATTCCCATGTAGTTGTCCAAGGTTCAAATCCTGGACCTGGCAGCTTAAAACTCTGGCTGAGCATGTGTGCATGCATGCCCAACATTCTAAGAGAATAGTGGAAAAGAGTTTGCAGCCTGGTCATCCCCAATGGTGGGTGACTTCTCACATTCTGTGTCTCTGTCTTTCTTTGTCTCTCCGACGAGCACATGCACCCTATAGCAAAAACCTCTCTTTAAAATAAAAAACTAAGTCAGATAATGTAACTCCTCTGCTCTGAACCCCTAATGGTTCCCATTTCACTCAGAGCAAAATCCATAGTCCTTTGGCTCAATGGCTCCCAAGGTGCTATAGGATCTGTTCCCCTCCATATACTTACTTCTCTGACCTCATCTTTTACTACTAATGAACCCCTGTTGATTATATTTAAGTCACTTTGTCTCATTTTCATCTCTGAACCTTTGCACTTGCCATTTTCACTCTCTGGAACACCTATCTCTCAGGTATGCACATGACTCATTCCATCAACCCCATCACCCTTTCAACTCTTCCCAGGACTGGTCCTATAGCTCAGTGGTTAAGGGCTGTACATAGAAAACTGGATTCCACATCACCAACTGCAATTCAAATCCCAGCCCAGCACAGCTTGAAAGTGTGTTCATGCATGCCCCAAATCTTGATGGGATGGATAAATGGAGAAAAAGGGCTTGTGGCATGATTATACCCAACTGGGTGCTCTCTTCTCTCTCTCTCTTTCTCTGGCAAGTGTGTGTACTCTCTGGCTAAAAAAGAAAATAGTTATCTTTTCAGTGGGACCTTTCCTACCCACCTGTCTAAAAAATGCACCTTCTAAACCAGCATCAACCAAAGGAACTTTCTACAATGGTGAACCTGTATCATCACTCTCTAATAGTATAGAGTCAACCGTGGTCATCTGCCACTGGAGAGGTGACTGATAATCTTCTCTCTCTCTCTCTCTCTCTCTCGCTCTCTCTCTCTTTAGATGTTTTTGCCGTAGGGGGCATGCACTTGCTGGAGATAGATAGAGGCAGTGAGAAGGAAAGTGAGAAATGACCCCCAGGGGAAATGGCCAAGCCCCAATACCTTCTCATCTGCTCTTCTCCTGGGAGCTTGGGCACACACACACATGTGCCCAGCATGAGTTTCAAGCCACTGAGTCCAGGATTCAAACCACGATCGGCCATATGGGAGTCCAGTGATATAACTGCTATGCCATCTACTGTCCCCCAAAAGTTTTTTTTTTATTTTAACCAATTTAAACAGGTGCACAAGGATAGTGACTACCATCTTATAGGCACAATATCTGTACACTTCTTTTTCTCTTTTGGTTGCTTTATTTATTTATTTATTTATTTATTTATTTATTTTTACCATTTGTCACAAACATACTATATAATTTACTTAGAATTTTCTTTTGTATCATGTTTATAATTTACTCTCATCACTAGAAGATAAACTCCATGAGGAGTGGGATCTTTGGTTTTTTTCACCACCATATTCCTAGCTCCTAGGACATTTCCTAGAACATAGTATATGCTAAAAAAATGTGTTAAGACAAGGAATACAGAGGCAGTAGAAGATCCTGCAAGCTCCACTCAGGCTCTGGTCCAGGTCTTCTCTTCTAACTTGTGCCATTCGCTAAATCTCATCTCCTTAGCTGGATCATACGTTTTTCTGGACCTTCTTGACTTGTCCATCTATTTGTATGCCCTACCTAGTTTTCCAGAGGTATACTCATGACCGTCCCCTCAGCCCACTACTCTAAAGTCTCTTGATTAGGGCCCAAAGATTGACTCTTTCAACCAGCATTGGCTCTGTCAAATTTCTCTTTGACCAGACTGACTGGAAAGAACAAATGGCCAGGAGTCATAAGGCAGTGCTTAAGTGCTGCCGGCCTACGCTTTTCTTTGCTAAGACTCCAGAGAACAGCAGAACAGTTAGGAGCATCTCTCAGCAGTCATCCAGGGATATGAGGTAGACCTCAACCATCAACCATATGCTAAATCATCAGACAAATGGACTGATAATGATGGCATCTGCATTCTCAAAGGCCTTTTGAGGATATGGCCATCCTCAAAGGATAAGCCATATCCTTCAGTACTTTTCCAGGACATGTACATATGGCTCCCAGTGACATGAGGTGATGGTTTTTGGTCTGAAAATTCATTCTAATGCATCTACATTGAGTGTGAAGCATTCTTTCTAAAAGAAGCCTACTCTCAGACCAAGAGATAGCAAGGGGACAGGAGGTACTCTAGGGAACTCTAGTTAAGACTATTATAGTAATCTCCCCTTGTTCACAGTTTGGTTTTCCAAGGTTTAAGTTACCCACAGTACAGTACCATAAGATATTTTGAGAGAGAGAGAAACAAAAAGATCACATTTACATAACTTTTACAGTATACCATTAGAATTGTTCTTATTTTCTTACTGATTATTGTTAACGTTTTACTGTGCCTAGTTTATACATTAAACTTTATTATAAGTGTAAATGCATGGGGGGAAAAGTCATAGTATATGTAAGGTTTGGTATTATCTGCACTTGTAGGCATTCACTGGGCATCTTGGAATATACACCCTGCAGATAAGAGGGGGTTACTGTAATTGTTATGACCAATTAATGGGTTTCCATTTTAAGAGGCCAGATGTCAAGAATATCTTATTATAGTGGCTTCACACAGGATCGGGAGGAAGTAGAAATTAGAACGGTTGTTGAAAGCTTTCACTTTTTCTTTATTAAGTCTGATGACTCAGATATAATATTAGGCTTTTTGTAAGTCAGGCACATTCTTTTTGCATAAATGAGAGAAGAAGTAACCCACCTTTTATAATACCTTGCATATAGTTAATACCCAACCAACTGTGGGATGCTAATATGTATTCTGCTTAACTGTATAATATTTATCATAATGAGGACACCCTTCAAAAATAAACTGTATATTGATATGCATTAGCAAAATTGAAAGTGAAGCAAAAAAGTTTCACAGATAGTTAAAAAGTTTCTGTTTCACTGGGCAAAAGAGATCATGTCTAGGGGCCAGCAGGTGGCATGATAGTTGGGACTAGACTCCCATGTGGCTGACCATGGTTCAAGTACTGGACCTAGTGGCTTCCTTTCTCTCTTTGCCTCTCTCTGGTGAGCACATATACACTGTAGCAAATTAAAAAAAAATAATGATAATGATAAATGAAAGTAAATAAATAATTAAAAAAGAAATCATGTACAGAAAGACAAGAAATCTAAAGTCTCCTTTTGGGCACCACTTATCTTTCTGTTAAACATTAACATAACGTAGCTCATAATGTATTTTAGTTTTAGTTTCATTTAAAATCACTTCTGCTATGTAGTGAAACAATTTTCTTTAGAGAAAAAGAGTAACCACTTAGCAAAAGGCAAGTCGCTGCCATGTCCCTCTTTTTTTGTTAACAGAACACCAATTTTGTTTAGGGTGACAATGCATCCGTTGCTCAAGGAGATAAATCCCAATAGATTAAGTCTCTAATTGTGATTCCATTTCCCAGACTGCTCTGTAACTATAATTGGCAATAGGGCAGCTCAAGACACTGAGGTGTAAGCAGTAGTCTTGTAGGGGCTTTTTGAGAAGATTTTGTTTCTGATAAGAGGCAAGTGCAAATGGAGAGCCTGCTTTTACTACCCTCACCATGTCCTGCCTTTGAATATGGCATGATGATGCCTGGAGCTGCAGCAGTTGTCTTAAGGTCATGAATACATACTGTCAGAAGGAAGTCTGCTGGGGACAACAAAGAAGATGACAGAACAAGGGGGAATCTTGATGACATCACCAACTTGCTGAACCAAGCCTGAGTGGATGACTACTGGAATTTGCATTTAGTAAAGAGAAATTTTTGCTATAGTGTGCATGTACTCACCAGAGAGACAAAGAGAGACAGAGGCAGAAAGTGAGAAATCACCCCCCAGGGGAAATGGCCATGCCACATTTCTTTCTCTTTCATTCTCCTCTCCATTTCATTCTCCTCTCGAGTTTTTGGGCATGTAGGCACACACATCCAGCATGAGTTTTCTTTCCTTTTTTTTTTTTTTTTTTTTTTTTTGGAGAGGTTTTTGCTACAGGGCTTGTGTGCTCGCCAGAAAGACAGAGAGAGACAGAGAGACAGAAAGCGAGAAATCATCTCCCAGGGGCGATGGCCACACTGCAATCCCTTCTCCTCCATTCTCCTCTCGGGATCTTGGGCACACACTTACAAGCACCCGGCATGAGTTTAAGCCACCGGGTCCGGGACTCGAACCGCGGTTGACTACATGGGAGTCCAGCGACATAGCCATTATACTAACTGCTGGTACCCTGGCGTGAGTTTTAAGCTACCAGGTCAGAGACTCGAAACATGGTCGACTATGTGGGAGTCCAGTGATGTAACCATTATGCCATCTGCTGGTCCCAAGAATAAATGTCTCTGGAGGCTGGATAGTGGTCCAGTGATAAAATGTGATGCTCTGAAAGGCTGACCCACATGGGAAGGTTGCTAGTTCATGATCAGAGTCCACCCTCAATACATAGGGCATGCATTTGTCAACAATTTGAAGCTGAGGCTGGGGGGTGGTTTGCAGCATTGAGACCCTGCCAGGAGGACTGTCTCTCTCCCTCTCCTTACTCATGGAATAAATAAACTTCAAAAAGTGAACAAATGTTCTAAGGTTTGAACTCTTGTCAGTTGAGTTTTCTTTCATCTGCAGACACACATTTCCATCTGATAAAAAGACCTTTAATTACTGGTTCAATAACTGCCTATATACTCAGTGTCTAAATGTAACCATTTTTAATATTTACCATATTTGTTTTATCTTTGTGTGTATATTTATTTTCAATATATGTGAAAAATAAGTTGTAGACATCATAATACTTGATCTCTTCAGCACACATCTAAAAATAAGAACATATTCCTCTATAACCACAATGCTATTATCCTTCCTAAAAATATTAATTCTCTGATATCATCAGACGCAGTCTATAATCAGTTTCTTCCGTTATCCCAAAACATCTTTGGGCAATTGAAGAGAATTTCTATTTAAATGGGACAGTAGGGACTTGGAATTTTGTTTAACATATTCTTCTAGTCAAAAAAAAAAAAGAAAAAAATTCACCACTCCCTCCTTCCATGGCAAGGAAGTTTCACTTTCTAGCTCACGATGGCTTTTGAACCCAGTAGAACCCTGGAAAGATTATAATAAAGCTTCAGAGTTAGAACTGTGAAAATCACCAAAGAGCTCCATCCCCACACCATCCAAAAGTGTTGTAAAAAATCCTATTTGGAATCTTATTTGAGACTGAGCGCCTGATGTCCTAATGCTCTTTGATATTAGACAGCAAGATAAAGGACTATGACAACTAGCATGGAGCCAGGCAGGCATCTTGATTCGGGGTCCATACTTTATCTTCTCAATCCTAATGGCCTACACATCAGACTTCACTACTGTCAAGAGACAGAGTGAGACAGTGAGCAGGAAATGGCAGTCGTGAGTAAAATTAATTACAACACAAATTGTGCATATAAAATACCCAACACTTTTAAAAAATATAATTAAGGAAATTAGGATACACTCACTCTCCGGAAGAAAGAAATAGGAAAACAACACTAATTGTTTTCTATACTTAAATTAGTGAAAATTAAGATTTTTCTAGAGCATTGCTAAAGAACAAATGTTCAACTATTTTTGCTTATTTTTTTAACTTTCCATTTTACTTAATTTAAAATCGCTAAGTTCAGGGGAACTATGAAATGTCAGAGTGATGTGGATGTAACAGGACTATCCCCTCTGAGGCAATGTAAATCCTTTCTCATGCAGAACTTACTAATGTATGTCCACCCAAAGACATACCTAAATGACGCTTCACTCTCTTCATTCGCCTGGTGCCTTCAATTTTAGTCTGTTTCTCCCCATTTCCAGGATTCTCAGTGTCATTTAATTCTCCCACCATTCCTATAAACTAGGAGGGAAAAGTTTCAAATAATGACAAAATGTTTTTAAGCTACTATTACCTGGTCATAAGCTGGAAGAAGTCAAAGAGCTTTAACTTAATTCCAATTGGATTCATCTACAACCATTTATATTTCATGTATTTCGGCTGCAGAAAGTTAATTGTGTGATCTATTATAAGGGCTTTATTGCATATGAATAAAGTCATAGCAATTGTCATTGACAAATAGAAACCTATTATTAATGTTCTAAACCAATTATCTTGGGGGAAACATTCAGCCAGTTTTAATCAGAGACTTACAGATTAATCACACAAAAAGAAAGGTTAAAGATATGTTTTGACTAAATTATCTGCATTGCCATTCAACCCAGGAGCAATGGCAAAGTAATCTGCCCTTCTTTAACATGCTGTTTTTTCAACCTTAATTTTTCAACAGGATAAATTTATTTTTTGGTAACTTGTAATTAATACAAGTTATAAATAAAAGCTTCGTTGCATTTTCACTAACATATCCTGAAGAAGCAAATGTTTGTTTCTGCTAATGATGATTTTACTTCTAAATAGAGGTAAAACAAAGAATTTCTAAAACTTTAACAGTCTGCTTACCAAACATAGACAGCAGGAGGGTTTGGGTCTTTCGCTGGATTCCCAGAGGCAGTATAGAAGGAAGAATGACAAAGCAGTGTAATGAACAGCTTCTGAACCATACACGGGTGTTGCTACCATGGACCGCTTTGTTGTGGAAAGTGCTGGAGGTGCAAATGTTTCCTGTGGGTTGTCGAAAGAGAGGCCAGCAGTTTCTGCCACCCGTGACCTCCGGGCACAATATGCTCTGGCGGAGGCCCTTCTGGGCCTGTAGGTTGCTGCACTGGGAGAAGGGGACATGAATGCTACCAGTCCCGGGGGGCCTGAACAAGGACATGTTTTAAAAGTCCTTGCCTTATGAAAGTCTATGATACATGCAGAAACTTTAATTAAGATTCTTGATGTTTCTGCTTTTTCATACATGTCCACATGCCCAATCACACACTTAGCTTGTCTCCACTGGCTCTTCTAGGAGGATCTGGGAGGATCTTGTTTTAGGTTCTCCTGTGAAGCACAAGAAAGATTCTTTATAGAATTCTTTATAGAATTTATTTATTATTTATTTTATTTTGTCCAAGGGTACTTTTGCTTGCCAAAAAAAAATAGAAAGGGAGAGAAAGAAAGTAACCCCCAATGAGGGCATGTTCAGACCATAATCCCTTCTCTTCCATATTTCTCTCTTGATGGGAGTCCAAGTGCATGTGTCTGTGTGTTTTTCAAGTTGCGAGGGCTGGGATGTGAACTGTACAGTCAGACACGTGGGATCCAATTCTCTTGATCACGACGCCATGGGCTGGCCCTAAATTTATGTTTTAGTAACGTTATAATTGTATAGGGACTAGCAAATGGTGTAATGGTTACATTGCTGGACTCCCATGTAGTCAACCGTGGTTTGAGTCCCGGACTCAAGTGACTTAAAACTCACACTGGGCGCCTGCAATTGTGTGTTCAAGATTCTAAGAGGAGAATGAAGAAGAAGGGATTGTGGCATAACCATCCTCCCTGGGGGTTGATTTTTCGCTTTCTGCCTTTCTGTCTCTCTCTGTCTTTCCAGCAAGCGTACACGGTCTACAGCAAAAATCTCTCAAAAAAATTATAATTGTATATATTTATGGTGGTACAATGTGATTTTTCACATTGTGTGTTTGTGAATACAATGTGTCAGGATTAAATTAGGGTATTCATATACCCATTATTTCTACCATTTATCACCACTTTGTGTTAGGAACATTCATAATCTTTTTTAAGGTGTATACATATCAAACTTGGAATTTTTTTAAGCTGCTAGTCTGCCATGTGGGAGTCCAACACCTTACCCACCACACCACTTGCTGGCCCCACATGTTGTTCTCTTATCAATCTGTAATTTTGTTTCCAATAATCAGCATCACTCTATCTGACCCAACTCCATCCTTCCCAAACTCTACTAGTCATTCTTCATCTCTATTCCTATGAGATTCTTCTACATATGAGAGAAAGCATATAGTATTTCTCTCTCTGTGCTTGGCTTATTTCACTGAATATAAATTCCTCCAGGCTTGCCCATTCAACCTCAAATGACAAGATTTTGTCCTTTTTAGTAGCTGTATAGTATCCCATTATGTATATATACATACTACATTTTTTTTATCCATTCACCTGTTGGTAGATACTGAGATTGCTTCCATGCTTTGGTGGTTGGGACTAGTGTTATAATAACACTGGGGTATCTTTTTTTCTTTTTTCTTTTTTTGAGAGATTCTTGCTATAGGGCACGTGCACTCGCCAGAAGACAGAGAGAGAGAGAGAGAGACAGAAAGCGAGGAATCATCCCCCAGGGAGGATGGCCATGCCACAATCCCTTCTCCTCCATTCTCCTTTCAGTTTAAGTCACCGGGTCTGGGACTCAAACCACGGTTGACTACATGGGAGTCCAGCGACATAGTCATTATGCCAACCACTGGTCCCATGGGGTGCAGTATCTTCACAGCATGTGATTTCCTTTCCTTTGGTTATATACTCAATGGCAGGATTCTGGCACAAGTTGGGGGGCTGCCTCCCAGGTTGATTAGCCTCCTTTCTGTGTGCAATGTTGACCTAGCTTTTTTTTATTTTTAAGAGAAATTTTTTGGCTTGTACGCTCATCAGAGAGACAGAGACAAAAAACGAGAAATCATCCCCCACGCCAGGGGGGATGACCACATAGCAATCCCTTCTCCTCCATTCTCCTCTTAGGATTTTTGGGCATGCACGCACATGCACCCAGTGCAAGTTTTAAGTCACTGGATCTGGGACTGGAACCACTATGTGGGAGTCCAGCAACATGACAATTATGCCATCTCCTGGTCCTGATATTTTTTTAAAAGAATTATTTAATTTTATTTATGTATTCATTTATTTTAATTTGACCAGAGAGAGGTACACACAGAGAGAGCAGGAAAGTAAGAAAGCAAGCCACCAGGTCCGGGACTCAAACCATAGTGGGCCACGTGGAAGTGTCCAGCACCTTAACCATCATACCACCTGATGGCCCCTGGTCCTGATATTTTAAAAGGGGATGCTCAATATTTTCTCTTGAGTAGAGGAGGATGGGATTGGGGATGTCTCCTGTCTTTGGCTCATAATTGATACTTTTAGTGGTAGCTGTGGCCCAAAACAAATTTTTTTCAGTCCCAAGACCTTAGAACATTGAATAAAAGACACTAGAGGCCATGCCTCACTTCAGTACTACCTAAAATGTCTCTTTCAGGCCAACAGTTGGTACAGAAGTTAAGATGGCTATATCTCACATGGCTGGCTACATGGTTCAAGTGTCAAACCCAGTGGCTTGAAAAACATGCCAAGCCTCTGTGCATATATGTCCAAAATCATGAGAGGAGAATGAAAGAATGGGATTGCAGTGTGACCGTCTCCCCTGGCAGGGGTTATGGGGGTGCTTTCTCAGTTTCCCTCTCTCTGGGTCTCTCTCTCTTTCTCCAGTGAGCACATTAGCCTTATAGAAAAACTAAAAAAGAAAAAGAAAAGATGTATTTCTCTCACTGAGGCTTGGATTCCAGAGGCTGTCTTGGTATCTTTTAGTCTGTACACCTTTGCAGTTAAGGCACAGAGTTAACAGAGAAAACTAAGGTAATAAGGACTTTACTTCATAAATGTTTTACCAAGGAAACCCAAAAAGATACAATGAAAGCATTTAATTTGACATGTTCTAGATAAATTATTTAAATTTTGCTGCAAATGCTTCAACCTAAAATAAATGACTTTGTTTGCAAAAATGTGTAGCACACATTTGCTGAAACTCCTCACCCATTTGCAAGTGTTGTAGTCTTGGTAACTGGGGAGCTTAGCAGAATGAAGACAGCCTTGAAGGCTGGAGAGTTGTAACATGAATCCCAGATGCGTTGGGGCCCCCCTGTCCTGTCGCCACCCCATTTCAGGAACCAGACACAGCAGGCACAGAGCTAGCACTTGAGAAATGAGGTCTGTTCGTTGCATTCATAAGTATGGGTTAGAGCAACAGCATCAGGCCCTGAACTAACGGGTGGGGTGTGAACAGTAAAAAGACAGGTCCCAGCTTCAGCCATGATGCACACGTGTGTGACGTCATATGGAGGACAAAAGGAGCAGGTGGAGTTGTTCTCTCCAAAAGAAAAATATTCACTAAGTACATGGGAATATAAATGCAATTTTGAAACTACAGGTGGTTTCTCTGGGCAGGATTCATTTAAAAAAGGTCAATTTAACACCCTGGGCAAAACCATGACTATAATGGGGATAATTTTTTTTTTTTTTTTTTAGAAATTTTTGTTATATGATATATGTATTCGCTGAGTCAGAGAGAAAGAGAGACCAAGAAGGAGAAATCATCTAGGGAGCAGAGGTGAACACACGGCAATCCCTTTTCCTCTATTTTCTTCTTGGAGTTTTGGGCACGCACCCACACACACCCAGTGTGTTTCAAGTCACCGGGTCCAGGACTCGGAACCGTAGAAGTTCAGCACCTTAACTATTATGCCACCTGCCGGTCCCAAAGAGAAAATATTTTAAAGTACTTCATCTAATGACTCTCAGGTGATACAAATTTCCCCAGCTAAGGAACAATATGCATAGATAGGCCAGGCAGTGGCATGGTGGTTAAGTCACCTAGATCTCATGTGGCCAACTGTGAGGTTCAAGACCCAGACCCAGTAGTTTGAAAAACTATGCCAGGCATATGTGTACACATGCCCAAAATCCTGAGAGGAAAATGGAGAAGGATTGCAACATAGCTATCTCTCCTGGAGCTGATTTCTTACTTTCCGTCTCTCTCTGTCTCTCTCCAGCAAGCACACAAGCTCTATAGTAAAACAAAAAGAAAAACAAAAAAAAGGAAAGAACAATACGCACTTATATACACACACATATTTACACACATAGGTATATATAATGCATGTATAATAGCATTTCATTTATTGGTCCTAAGTAATGCAAATTTTTCCAGTTAAAGCTGTATAGTTGGAAGGCATGGAGGTTATTTAGCATACAACCAGCTTCCTGAGGAGTACTGGGTAAACTATAAAAATCATTTCAAAATTTAGCACCTTATGCCTTCCATACCTTTAAGGAACAAAACTGACAAAACCACATAAATAATAAAGAAGAGAAAAGGGAGTATTTCATTGGTCCCCAGTAAGCCAGCCTTTATCTCTCTTTTTTTTATTTTGAGAACAAAATTTTTCTTTATTTACAGTCAATCACATGGGCACACACATGAGAGAGAGAAGAGCACCCTTTAGCCCCTTTAGTCATGCCATAATCCCCTTCCTGCAGTCCTCCAGCCCTTTGGATTGTGGGCATGTACATCTCTGCTCAGGGTATTTCAGGCCAACTGGGCCAGGGATTTGAACTGTGGCTGCCATGTGGAATCTGGATTTTCTTGAGTAGTATATCACTGTCACACTACAGAGCTTGCCTCTTAACTCTCTTAAAAGATGTTTATTGCTGTTTTTATTTACTGCTATGTTTTAAATAAAAGGAACTAGTCATTGCTGGGCTTGTACATGATAGTAGGTAGGGTTTCACTTTTCAAGGGACAATGTTTCCCCCTCACTACACAGCCTATCAGGGGGAAGAAGAGGGAAGCAAAACATTGAAGGGACCTGAGGTGTAAAGAAATCTGTTGATTTTGTGTGTGTTGGTGGCTTTGACTCGACCAATATACAGTGTATTCATGATAGAAAAATTCATTTGGTATGCTGTAATGATACACAGTGACTGAATATAAAAATAGATTAATTAATTAATTAATTAAAGGCTCAAAGAACTCAAGCAGGAAACACTGGAGAAGCAGGTTGAACAGAAGGCAAGCATTTACTGATTTCGACTAAATCACCTTTTCCAGGTTGTACACTCTTCCTACCAACACTGGCAGAGGACTCCAACTAAGTGCAGACTCGGGAGTCAAGCTG